TTCGAATTTTGGTGACGTCATGTGAAAACCAGTTATACGGCCGCTGCGCCCGCAAAACGACACGATAATAGTCTTTTTCTTCGCAGCTAACACAAATAAAGGCAATGTTCACGACAGTTTGGCCTCATATAATAGTTAACTTGAGAATTGTGGGTTTAATTTTGATGAGGAACTACATATTTTGTTCAGAATAACACAAATATTATCCTACCTGGCGACACTAGACGAACTACTTCAACCGATGTGTGCTCCGGTACAAATTGTGTTCCCATACATGACATGTGTACCATCACCGGGAGACCCTGCCGCTGACCGTAGAGCGAAGGAAACTGGGCTCGAAATTGGCGGCTCTGCCCCAGACGAGAGGTTGTACATGGTTAGCTTTTTATTGACTATTTTGCCACAATTCAGGTAGGAAAATGTATTTAGCAACATATTTTTAGTAATCGTGATTTATGTTAAGTCCGATTTTGGCTCAGTGGACTCCTATTTGCGATGAGCACGACGTGGTTTATCTACACTGTGTAATCAAACTATAAACAAAATTATTGTTAAATGTAACTGAATGAAAAGTGAAGAAATTATCCACACGGCCGTGTTTACGATTTTCGAGCGGAGCCTGGAAAAAATTCAGGGCGCAAATTGGCACTTATTGTCTTCGTGATAGATGTTCCCGAGCCGAAGCCTAGGAGAACATCAGTGAAACTTTATGATTGATAACAACCAATTATAAACTATAGTACTTAATCTATATCGCCAATCAATTGATGCTGGAAATCAATGACAAATGACAAATAAAATTTTGTGACTTACAATCTCAAGTTCCATCCACTTTCTTTGTTTTGTGCTGATTGTCATGGATTGTCATTAATTTTCATTTAGATTGAGGCTTGTGACATCAAGTACCTCATTAATTCTTTCTTGTGCTTTAAAGTGCCTTAATTGCAGTCATGCATACATTGGCACCAATAACAGACTGACTAATTAATTCACTTATGGCAATTTGACTGCATTCGTTTCTTCAAGATTCCATTCAATCTACATGTAACTATTAATGATTGGTCATTGATTGACCAATATGGACCAATATGAATGTGTATTTAATGATTTAGCAATCATTGATTGATTGATTGATTCTGATGGTTGAGTTTCATTCTATTGGACAGGACGGGAGTGTTTGAGATGATCCCAACTGGAAATAAGTCTGTTGTCTTACAGCTGGAGTGACATGATTTACTTTATTAAAAATTTAAACACTGCAATGAGATATTGAGATATATTGTTATTGAGATTTCTTTTCTGTTTGTCAAATTGAATTAATTGTCCGTACATTTTTATTTCATTTATTTTTTGGGATTATGCAGTAAACAGTAAATCAAGACTCTCAAATCTTAGCTTTGGTCAACAATGTTGAACTGCTTGGGGGTCACTTGTTGTTCTTTGTTGTTGTGCTTGAAAAGCAAATAGAAAAAAACTTTTTATAGACTGATGGTCTTAAAATATGATGCCAGAGTAATGAACAAAGAGAAAAAAAGATGATTTATAGATCAGTAATGATCACTAATTAACAATTAGACTGCAAGGGCTACGGGTCAATAGCCCACGAGGCGAAGCTGAATGGGCTATTGATCCGTGGCCCTTGAGGGCAAAGGGTCTAATTGTTTTAGTATCACCCAACTAGTCAGACAGAATAGGCAATAATAAAGTTAGCAAATGCAAGTTGAAG